GTTGAGTTGAGTGAGAAAGGAAACGCAAAAGCAAAGACGAAAGTGCGATAAGTCACCGGACAATGCTGGTCAGATTATTATAAATTCAAATGAACCGTTTGCTTTTCGGTGCTGTTTGTCTCTTCTACAGCCACCACCACCACCACCACCAACTCTACACTTTTCCAAGTCATACATAATTTAATAAGGCAAAGTGTGTCCACTGCTGCTGCTGCTGCTGCTGCTGCTCACTCTACTGAACAAATACACTTGAAAATTTAATTTCCATTTGCAAAGAGACTTCTTCTAGTCTTGAAGTCTTCTGGTTTCTGGAAATTTTTGCTGAGGTGATTGCCAACTGTGGTGAAAGCGCCACTTGGATCGTATTGACAACGACAGTGCCATTTTAAACAGTCAGTTGTTTGTCTGTTGGTGGTGGTGGTGGTGGAAATGGTGCTGGGTGCTCCTTTTGATGAAGTAGTCTTCTCTTACTACTACAGAAGCTCGGAAAAAGAGAGCGAATTTGTCCAAACCAGAAAAAGAGTCTTTTTCTAATCAACTGACGAGTGTGTGTGTGTGTGTGTGTGCTTGTGCGGGGGTGACACCAGCACCAGCACCAGCACTCGTTTTTGGTTCAAGTTAACAGGCAAGGACAGCAAACACCAAGCAAGTGAATCTAAAAAAATTGCTATTTTTTTCTCTGGCTCCTGTTTGCTCAGTCGATTTGCTCTTGGTCGTTTTCTTGCAGTTTCTTGCAGTGTGTGTGTGTGTGTGTGGTTAAATTGAATGGGCGACAGTTTCAGTTTGGGCAGCACAACGATGGTTGCCAAAGGCAGTCATTCTTTTTTTCGATGGAGATTCTGCTGGTATCCCCCCCCCTCCTCCATCGATTGGGCACAAGTTTTTATTATTTCTCTCCATTTCAATTTGTTTATTAAGGAAAGTTGATGAACGCCATTGTGATTGAAATTGCTGTTGCAACAGCAACAGTAGCAACAGTGATTCTCCGATTTTAGATGAGTGAGATTGTCTATCTGCTAAAAAAGAAAGAAAATGGATTTGAGCTGAAAAATTGGATAGTTTAGGAGAATGAAACTGGAAAATGACAAATACATTTGAATGGCGGCGATAAAAAAACTGCGGTTGATTTAAAACTGGCAGGCCACTTTGGTTTTTATTGGCCCCGCAACAGCACCAACAACAGCCCCTGAAATGGGCTAATTTTATCGATACTTCTGGCGAGCACATATTTCGATAGATGCCCGCTCTTTCCTTTCATTCTTTCCTCAAGTGACACTTTGGGGCCGATTTGCAAATGAGCAGCGGGTCGAAGGGATGTTGCAATAGAAAAAAAAATTGAACTGGGATCGATCGATGAGGGAGGGAAAAAATTTAAAGTGGGGGAACAGGAGGACCATGATGATGATGTTGCTGACACACCGAGAACTTCTTTTTTGGCCATTGTGTTTGGGCGCATTAATGGGCGCACTAAAGCGACTGTGGGGATGTCTTTTCTTATCTATTTCTCAATTGCCACCACCACCACCACCCGTTATCTAAATTGAAATGCTAGCACCCTCTGCTGGCTTTTAGCACCGCCGCCGCGTATGAATATTAAGTATGAGCAGTGTATGGTCGGGGAGATGGACTTTAGTGGCCATGCAAAACCCTGCAGACAACTGCCCTAAACAGACGCTGTTGAACACAATTAGAAGTAGTCGGAAAAAAAACGGGCGCCATCACACTTGATAATGGGTGGCACTGGTGGGGCCATTATCAACAACGGTAATTATTGTCGCCATTTCTGTGCTACAGTACACTGTGTACACTGCTCCGCTGAAGGCTGTTAATTTTGAATTTTAGTATTTTGCTCTCTCCCTCCAGTGCTCTCTTTTAGATTGAGAGATCAATTTGAGCTAATAAAAATTTATTGTCATCGATTTTAAACTGCCAAGGGGGCAAAGGGCGACAGCAGAGTTGACAACAGAGGGTTCTCATTTTATTTTAACACACAGAGAATAAAGTGTCGAGTGTAATGGGCCCGCTGATAACAGAGAGAGTTGAAGAATGGGCTGCGATTACTGCCGCCGCTGCTGCTGCTGCTGCTGTTGATGGGGTGAAACCTTTTTATTTTTTAAAAGTTAGAAGCTTCTTATGTTCGCTTGAGCACTGCTTTGATTCTCTGGTACTGCCTCTACTGAGATTCCTCAGTAAATACTCTCTCACACTGTTATTCACTTCTACCGCAATTTAAAAAAGCAGCTCCTGTTTAAAGTGCAATGGAGCACAAAAAAAGTTCTTGCTGATGTTTTTACTGCTCCGCAGAGAACGGCGGTGAGCTTCTTGATCATCAGTATTTCTTCTTTTTTCTGCTACCGAGTGGAGGACACCTACCTAAGTGGACTGATAAATACGGTGGCTTAATTAATTAGTAAATGAAGAANGGGGGGGGGGGGAGAAGCCAGCCAAAAAAGACAGTCACCATCAATCGATTCCTGCCGCCGATTGATTTTTTTGTCCTTTCCTTACCACCACACGTCCTTACCTGCGCCATTTGTCATTTGCCTTTGATTGCCTCCGCCTGACGCCTTCTTCTGCTGCTTCTGCTTCTTCTTCTTTTGTCGGTTTTTTCTTTTCCTTTCCTTTCACCCTCCGTTTTACCCGTACAACGCCAATCACTTTTGCGGCAACTTTTTTCGGCGCCCTTTGCCTTTGAAGTTGCTGTTTGTTCAGCAGCAGCAGCATCAGCGGCCACAAATGACTCAGTTAGTCAGTCAGTTGATTGGTCGGTTTCCTCCTCTTTCCCCTTTGACTGACAGCAGCAACCAGCAACTAGCAACTAGCAACTAGCAACCAACCAGAGACTAAAGGTCAAAACAAAAGTTAGAAAAAGGTTGACTGTTTTTGCTGCTGCTGCTGCCTCGAAAGCCACGATCACCACCACAACTACCGAGAAGACAGTAAAAAATCGCTCGTTTTCTTACCCTCAAATTCTTTTCATTAATTTCATATTTAGATTATGTGCCATCTAATTTGGTTCTGTTTGCATCTGCTGCTGCCCTTTTAAACTTCCTTGTCACCACCACCACCACCACCACCTACAGCTGTTGCTGCTGCCGCCGCCGCTTCTGATGACAGGAAAAAGGCCTTTAAGGCGATCATTCAGTTTGATCATTTCTGCTGATAACGAGCGCCTGGCGCCAAAATGCACCGGCCTGCTCTGTTCTGTTCAGTTTTTTGGGAGTCTTTCTCTCTCACCGAGGACTGCTAACTAGCTAACCACACATTGATTTGATAACTTCATCAACATCGCTCTCCGCTCTCCGTTCTCAAGACTTGTCGCGACAAAATTAGTGAAAAAGAAAAGAGGGGGAATGGGGGGATGTGAAATGGTAAATCAAATTAACCTTAATCAAATGTGTTTTCGGTGTCGCAGTCGGTTTGTGTATGTGCCAGTGTGCGTGTGATTGCTCCTCATTATCGTTTTATGTTTGAGCTGGGGGAGCTGATCGGGAGCTGATTTTTTTTGCTCTACCACTGCCCCGCTGATGCTGCTGCTGCTGTAGCAGCATCAGTGAACATGGCCAATTAGGCAGGTGTGTGTTGGCTGTGTATTGCCTATCTTCATTGACTAAACAAAGCAGCAGCAGCGGGAGCAGCAAAAGTAGTGGAAAAGGTCGACGCTGGCGCGGCGCCAGCTAAGCAGGCTGAGCGAGTGCACAAAGTGAGTAGTAGAGATTGGTAGAGATAGAAGAGCGCCACTATAAAAGCAAGACAGCAGCAGCCAGGTTGTGGTTGTTGCTTAATTAATAAAAGGCTGCCAACCAAAGTACTGAAAAACAGCTTTTGGATTTTCAGCAGTGCTGGTGCTGTTGCTGTTGATCTACTAGTACTAATGTCATTTTCAGTTTATTATGTGAACTGATTAAGCACACCTTTGCACACCTTTGAGCACCTTGAGATGAGAGGGATTCAGTGGTCATGAGCGGTGTTGTCGAAACGGTTTTCATGCTGAAATGCCCGAAAGAACGAGAAAACGGCATCATTTCTCATCATTGATTCAACAGGTGGTTGCTGGTGACAGTGGTGGCGGCGGCACCAGAGACGAGTTATGGACAGGCGATAACAGGACTGATTGGTTGAGGGGGAAATAGAAGGAGGAGGAGAAGGTAAACTTATTAATTGGCAACTGTTTCGTCGGCAAGTGCTTCCTTTTCTACCTGTCTGCTTGTCTGCCTGAATGACTGACAGACGGGGTGCAAGTACAAGCTCTGACGCTCTGGTGGTATCAATGATGCGGCACGTTTAGAGGCAAACGACGGCGGAAAATGCTTTGCTATTTTATTTTCTCTGCTGCTGCTGTTTTTGCCTTTTCAGCTCTTCATCTGAAGCACAAACACTCACAACTTTGACATCGTCTGTTCATCAGATAACAGTAGCAGTAGTAGTGGTGGTGGTGGTGGCGACTGCCAACGAGAAATGTCTTCACATTCGCACACCTACTTTTGGTGGTGAAAGAACGACGACATCGGCAGCAGCAGCAGCAGCATTCTCCCTCGCCTTTTCTCCCCACCTTGTGTTACTAATTAAATTAGATTAGCACTGCTGCTGCAGTCAGTGCTCGGAAAAATGCAGGTAGTAGTGCTGATTTCTGCCTCTGATTTGATCGACTGATTGAGGAGCTCCTAGCTCTTCTCAGCTCAGTTCAGTCAGTCAGTCAGGCTCTGTCTGCACTGACAGAAGTGTTCACACACACACATACACACACTCACTCACTCATCATACGAAAACATATTTGCTAATCGGTTTCTTCTTTCTCTTCTGTCTTCCTTCTGCAGACCAACTTTTTCATCGTCTGATTGCTGCTCTCTGATTCACCCAAACTGTATACTTGATGCTCATCATGGAGCAGTGCAGAAGCAGCAGAGGCGGCGGCGGAAAATCTGCTCACCCTCTTTCACCCTTTTCTGCTGCCGGAAAATCTACCACCTCATCCGCCGTTTCCTCTTGTTGTGAATCAGAAGAAGAGGAGGAAGAAGAGGCAGAAGAAAAAGAGGATAAAAAAGAAGAATCTAAGCCAAAAGAGCAGCACGATTCTAATTCCGGTGCATCAGAGAGCTCATCGTCGTCTTCGCCGCAACCTAGCTCACCAAAAATTAACGTCACCGATCACTATGAAGAGGGGTCTGATCAGAAATCAAATCTCGAGGAGAACATGGAAGCCAAGGAGGATGATGATGAAAACGATGAAAATGACGAGGTGATCAGGAATTCGAGAAGTCCGCAAGAGAAGACAGACATATCATCGCTGAGTGCTCGGCATTTGTTCGCCTGCATCGGTGCGGCCGCAGCAGCCGCCGCGGGAGCGACAGTTTCCATGACGCCCACACCGGAAGAAGAAGAAGAAGAAGAAGAAGAAGCTGCTGCTGCAGGCTCCCCCACGGATTCTTCAGCAGCAGAAGCGGCGGATGTGACAGAAGTGGCAGCTCAAATAGGTGACACTCCCCTATCCTCTTCCTCCTCCTCCTCCTTTGCCGACCTGAAGCAGCTGGAGAGCGACAAGAAGGCCGTCTACTCGCATCCGCTCTTTCCGCTGTTGGGTGAGTAAAGAGAAAGGGCTGAGTTTTGTATTTTAATTTTTCTTTTGTCATCATTGCAGCTCTTCTCTTTGAAAAGTGCGAACTGGCCACCCAGTCCATCAACGCCTTTGACTCTGACCCCAGCCTTTCGGCGTNAGTGGCAGCTCAAATAGGTGACACTCCCCTATCCTCTTCCTCCTCCTCCTCCTTTGCCGACCTGAAGCAGCTGGAGAGCGACAAGAAGGCCGTCTACTCGCATCCGCTCTTTCCGCTGTTGGGTGAGTAAAGAGAAAGGGCTGAGTTTTGTATTTTAATTTTTCTTTTGTCATCATTGCAGCTCTTCTCTTTGAAAAGTGCGAACTGGCCACCCAGTCCATCAACGCCTTTGACTCTGACCCCAGCCTTTCGGCGTTTAACAATGAGATTGGCGAGTTCATTGAGCACCAGCAGAAGCTAGGTCGGCCGCTGCTCACCGACGATCCAGAGGTGGACTCGCTGGTAGGCTGGCAAAACTGTTTGTTCTCTTTTTCATTCTCATTTTCATTTGGTTACTTTTCTTTTTTTCAATACACAAACAAACAATCAGATGATGCGCTCCATTCAGGTGTTTCGCATTCACCTGCTCGAGCTAGAGAAGGTCTCTGAGCTGTGCAAGGACTTTTGCCACCGGTATATCTGTAAGTAAAAGAAGGGGAGAAGTGATGCTGTTTGTGTAAAATCTTCAATAACTTTCTTTCTTTTGCCCTGTCAGCTTGCTTACGCTCCAAAATGCGCTCCGATGTGCTGCTGCGAGGCGCTGGCAGCTCTTCAACGGCTGATGATGAGCTTGTTCGAGGTTGCAAACTCCTGTCGGCGGATGCTTTATCAGCAGCTGCTGGTGTTGGTGCTGGTGCTGGTGCTGCTGACGGCCACCAGCAGTCCACTCTGCAGCCGTTTGACATTCTCGGCGGCAACTTCTTCACCTCCTCCTCCTCCTCCTCCCCCTCCTCTTCTTCACTCTCCGGCTCCTCGCAGGCAGGCATGTCCTCACGATCACCGACGCCCAGCTCAATTAGCTCAAGGTCTTCTTCGGAAGGATCGTCGTCGTCAAAGTCCACCTCTTCCACTACCTCTTCTCGACGCAAAAACAACAACAAGCCACTCAACAAGCACAAGCACAAAAACATTGGCAGCAGCAAAAAGCACAAAAGCAGGTCCACCCGTTCGCCGTCATCGCCGTCGCCGCAAAAAATGGGAGTCACCTCTTCAGCGAAGAATGGGAAAGGCAAAAACGGTGGTGACGATGGTGATCACCACTGCTTTTCAGCAGCTACCACCACCACCACCACCACCACCACCACAGAGGCGGCCACATTGCCAACTCTCAGCCGAGCTAAGTCATCCTCCTCATCCTCACTTTCACCTTCACCTCATCACCCACTACTTTCGCCATTACCTCTTCATCCTTCTTCCATGTCTTCACCATCAGCAGCAAATCAACTGGCAGCAGCAGCAGCAGCAGCACTCAACTTTGAGCAGGTCATCCAGCCGTACCTGCGAGCTGCACACGTTCTGCCAGCTGGAAAAGCTGTTTTTCACCACTCTTCCCTGTTTAATGGAGCTAATCTGGAGGTCAGCACTACTAGTCCGAGGACGCCAGTCAGTTCGAATTTAGACGAGGAGGAAAAGGATGAGGAAGATAATGGTGGTGGTGGTTGTGGTGGTGATTATGATGACTCTGCTAAGGAAGAGGATGATGAGAATGATGACAACAATGTAGCCCATGATCTGTCGGTGAAGAAGCTGGTCACCGCCCACAACCATTCTTCCCACTCCCACTCCCACTACCATCACCATCATCATCATCATCATCTCCAGCATCTCCACCATCAGCAGCCTTCTTTTGCCAGCCACACAAAAGCGACAGGGAAGAGCACCTTAGACCTTCTAAACATCAACAACAACAACAACAACAACCACCACCCACTTCATCATCCTCACCTCTTTAAAAATATCACCACCTCACCACTCTTTTCAGCTGAAGACATCCTCTCCGGTAGCACCACCGGTAGTACGACGGCAGCCATCAGTGCTGCTGCTGCTGCTGCTGCCCGGAAAGTCCCAGCAGCTCACAAGGCCAAAAAGACGTCCGGTGAAAAGCAGTCCACTGGTGGTGGTCACTCAAAACGAGGCGTCCTGCCGAAGCAGGCCACATCCATCATGCGCTCGTGGCTCTTTCAGCATATCGTGGTGAGTGATTGAAACTTGGTTGAAAAGTTGTTTACTAGTTTTGAAGTCTAATCCCTCTCCTCTTTTCTCACAGCACCCATATCCGACCGAGGACGAGAAGCGGGCGATTGCCTCGCAGACGAGCCTCACGCTGCTGCAAGTGAACAACTGGTGTGTGTACAGCAGTACTCCTGTGTGCTTCAGTTTCTAAAGTATCAGCTAACAGCAAACGTTTTTGCACAGGTTCATCAACGCTCGACGGCGCATTCTCCAGCCGATGCTCGACTCGGCGAACACCATCCACCACGAGCTGGTCGCCTGTTCTGCTGTTACTGGCACACCAGTGATTACCTCCTCTTCCTCCACCGAGCTGGACCTCTCGCTGAAGGGCGGAACAAAAGCGGTGAACAGCACAGTTCAGACCTCGCCGCAGTCAAAGAAGCTCAAGACGGGCTCCTCCCCGTCCTCCTCCTCCTCTTCTTCTTCTTCCACCTCTTCCTCCTCCTCATCTTCCTCCATCTCTCATCTCAAGCATCATCAGCAACCGGTGCTGAGCACCACCACCACCACTGCGAGCCGCTTCTGGCCACAGTCGCTGGCGAACATTATCCACACCCGAGATCTCAGTAGTAAATGATGGTGATGGTGATGATGACTGGTTGACTGATTGAAGGACTCACCATCGCTATTTTTCTTCATCGTCGTCATCCTTCTGGTGCCCACACATCATCATGTGTACATATCAGCCGTTGTGAGACAACTCGCTCATGTTCATTCATTCTCCTCAGTGTGCTCGTTATTGTTCAATGTTCATTTCACTTTTGTCCCGGTCTGTCTGGCCATGACTGTCTAGTAGAGAGACCTAACTAACTCAGCAAAGCTATTATCTAATCTGGAGTGCTTCTTCTTCTTCTTCTTCTTCTTCCTCTTCCCTCTTTTCAACTCAAATCGCCAACAACTCTGCTCAACACTCTGGTACTCAATCTATTCTCTGGAGAACAAGTCCAACCACAGCAACAGCAACAACAACACCAACTCTTTCCACTTTTGTGTTATTTTTTGCTAAATTGCCCTCCTCCTCCTCCTTTCCAATTCAATTTCAATTTCAATTCCTCCCTCCTGATTTGTGTACAGCAAATAAAACAGCCACCCTTTTGTGATACATTTCACTACTGTTGCTGCTGTTGCTGCTGCTGCATCAGCTCGGCCGAGACCCGACGGAGCAGGTAGAGGAAGAGGCCGGCCAGCTTGAGCAGCCTCGCCCGGAGAAAGTGTCCACAGACGAGGAGACAGGGCGTGTAGACGAGGAGGCTGGAGACGAGGCGAAGGCGTCGCGGAAAGGCGATGTCCACCAGGCGACCGGCGGCGAAGAGGAGGTTGAAGGCGAGCACCAGGCGAGGAAGTAGCAGCAGCGGGCTGGACGGCGGGTCCAGGTCCTCAAAGACGAGGTACAGCTGACAGAGCAGGCTGAGGAGGAGCTGCGAGAGGCACTGGGCGTGCAGGCGTTCGGCGCTCTTGATGCGCCCGTTGCGGTTGATCTGTTCGCTGGGATTTGGTGAGAGGCGGAGAAAAAGCGAAAAACAAAGTTTTTAGTTTGTTTACATTTTGCTTTACCAGGGCTTCCTTCCTTCCTTCCTTCTTCTTCTTCTTTCTTCTTCCTCCTACCTGAGCGAGACCTCCTCGGAGCTGCTGTTGTGCAGGTCGTTCACCGTTCGCAGGTACACCTTCCACAGCTCCAGGGCGAGCAGCCAGAGCAGCGAGTAGAGGCTGCCCTGGAAGACCACCGCCAGACGACTGCCCAGACGACTGGACTGGGCAGGAGTGCTTCGGGTGGACTGCTTCTTTGGCGCCCATTTCTGCTGCTGCTGCTCGGCTGCTTCAGAGAAGGGCAGAAGGAGCTCCTGGTAGAGGAGATCTTCCAGCGGGCCGAGCACTGCCGCCCACTCGGGCAGCAGCGGCTCCAAGGCGACGAAGCCGACCACGCCGAGGAAGAGCAGGGCGATGAGCAGCTGAAGAGACAGGGGGAGGACAAAACGGTGGCCACCTCTTTGCTGCTGCTGCTGCTGCTGCTGCTCCGGCTTGATCAGCTGGTCGAGAAAGGTGTACCTGGCCAGCTTCGGAGTGTCCTTGTCCTTGGTTTGAAAGTTGCTGTCGCGAAGGCTCTTCATCCTCTTCTTGCCCTTTGTTTTGCCACCGTTGTTGTTGCTGCTGTTGCTGCCGCTGCCGCTGTCTGAGTCTGACGAGCTAGATTCGAAAGTTGATGAGAAGGAGGATGTGTTTGAAGAGGATGATGAGCTACTTGGCAAGGCGTCGACGATGAGGGGCGGCCGACTTTTGGGAAGGCGGTTCAGCACCAGCACTCGAGCACTGTGCTGGCCTAGAGTGAGCGGCTCCTTCTTTGATGCGGCCATTGCTTGCTTGCTTGCTTGGTGAACAAGAGGGAGGAATTCAACGAAGTAATTCAAAGCAAAGCACTTTCCAGTTCAGTTGACGACAGTTCGGGTGAGCTGTTAAGTCCTAGTTAAGCAGTGTTCAGCAGTCATCCATTCCTTAGCATGAATCAGCAGATGGTTTTTGTTTTTGTTTGCATCAGCTGATGCGTCAGCTGGCCAATTGTAAACAAAAACGATAAATATAAAACGAAACTCGGAATCGGATGCAAAGTTCTCTGTTTATTAAATATACACAATTATAAAAAAATAGTTAAGCAAGCAAAATAAAGTTTAATCCACTAATGAACAAATTCATGTTAGTTAAAAATCAAGTACAAAAGTTAAAATCAAATCAAAAGCCAAACAGACTAAAACATATTTCCAATCTTCAAAAGAATACATCGAGAATTGATACCAGTTCCTAAGTAAACCATAAGTATTGTAGTTACACTGAAAGCCCTGTAGGTAGTAACCAAAAGGCGTTTCAATGGCACTTATATTGGATGCAATGGAGAAGCATTTTGGGAAAGGCAGAGATGGTGGCATCAGCAGTGAGGTCATTTGATCAGCTCCAATGAGAAGAGATATATCCTCTTCTTCTACAGGGTGAAGGGTGATATTTAACAATTTTTCAATTTTTTCAGTAAAAAAATCTGGTAATGTTGCCATATGAAAGTCAAAAAGAGATTTACACATCAGGATTAGTTCATTCTTGGGCTGTTTGTTACGGCGAATTCTATTAGGTTCATTCACTTGAACAGTAAATTCTCCGGTTTCTGTGACAGTTGAAATTAGTTTCAGTTCTTTTGCTAATTCAGGTTTAATGAAAGATTTGTAAGAGCCCGAGTCGATAAAAGCAGTCACTGTTTTCTTGTAACGTCCATTCGAAACAGTTAAAGGTAGCAATGAAGGTAAAAAGTGCGTCATTAAATCAGAATCCACAATGACACCAAAAAATCTGTACAAAAAATTGACCAGAAACTGCATGTAAATGAATCGCATTTTTTCGGCAAACTTGTAGAGTTTTCGTAAATAGGCAGTGTAGCTGTTGTAAATGCAAGGGATGTGTCTGCCAAATGAAACGATAATAATCGTTTGGAGGATAAAGGTGAAGAGAATGGCAAAAATAAAAATAATGACCAAATGAAGGTAAAGGAAAAGTCCAACAAAAAAATCTGAAAAATATTTTTAAAATGAGTTTTTATAGAAATAAAGTATAACACGTTGGAAATTTACTTACACAAATATTCAGAATGTTCGTAATCAACAAGTTCATCTTTTAAAACATTTGCTAATTTTTGCTTTTTTTGTACTGAGACCAAAGTGTCATTTGATAAAACATTTTGTTGAGACTGTTTGGGATGNATTCAGAATGTTCGTAAATAACAAGTTCATCTTTTAAAGCATTTGCTAATTGTTGCTTTTTTTGTACTGAGACCAAAGTGTCATTTGATAAAGCATTTTGTTGAGACTGTTCGGGATACAGTTTTTTCTTCAATACTTGGCTTTTTTTTAAGTTCAATTTCCATTTTGCAAATTTTTCAACATCGAAAGGTCCAGAAAAAGTGAGTCCCATTTTAGTGCGAATTATTGCTAGTTTTGGAGTGACATGGTAAACGAGTTGATGCGGATGCATAAGAATGAAACGATTTAGTAAGTCTAAACCAAGGATCATGTCAAATCGATATTGTGAGCTAAAATAAAAATAAATGTAATTGTCATTTAATTTAATAGTAAACACACTGGATACTTACTTTGGCTTTTCTTTTGACCATATTGTGTTTTTCATTGGTTTACTGACCATTTTCAAGCCCAGTGAAGCCATCTTAGTAATGAGTAATTCGACTGGCGTATAATCTATATCGTAAGGAGCACATTTATTAACTAAAATTGCATTTGTTGAAACAATGATCGATTCATCTTCAAGTGATTGCAGCTTCACTCCACTAAGCATGCAAGTTTCTTGGCCTACATAATCAAATGTAATTATTTCATATGGCCATGAATACTGAGAAGTGACTCCATTTTTCTGCAGTAAATCTGCCAGTTCAGAAAACACAGTTGTTTTAGAGGTGCCAGTATCAATCAGTGCTCGAATGACGATTGAGTAGCCAGTGGGTGTGATCACTCGAAGAAGCAGTGTTGGTCGGGCACAAAAGTTAGTCGGTACACTGCCACTTATCATTAACTCCGTTTCTCGTGCTACCATTGCAATAGTTGATGCTGATAAGGAGGACGGAAAAATGGCGGAAAACTGTTGAGGGGTAATGCTGAAGAAGTGCAGTAGGCTGAAAAATCGATGCGCCCAAATAGAGTCAACTTCCAGTGTTCCAGAGAGAATGAAAATGCGGATAAAAACATGGTGAAAATGGGCTGCATTAAATGGAAATAGCAGGCAGAGAGGTTTGGCAATAGTGATCAATGCGATCCACAATGAGCTGCTGGGCTCAGTCATTATGGACAAAAGTATGCTTTGAACTGAAGACACACAGATACTTAGTAGCTTTTCATGATGCAATGACGGGCCAGGCAGGAGCTTACAAATGATGTTCAGTTTTACTTTGAAGTTTTGGATCTTACTTTGACTACTTGGGCTGAATACTGCCAACACAAGACACTACAAACAGTGAGTGATCCTACTGTCCGAAATAGAAGACAACAATCGGCGAGCACTGCCGGCGAGTAGCCTCTGGGCCCTGCTGCCCCCAATCATGTTGGCTGTTGCAGATCAAATACAAATCAACTGATCAAGTGAATCCGTTTAATGAGTGCTATTGCACTGGGAAATGGATAATAATAATAATAAATAATATATAGCCCAATGACAGGCAAGGCACCAATGGTGGTGGGGGTGATGATGGTGGTGGAATGTGACACACTACTTGGCCTTCTTCGGCTCCTTCTCCTTCTCCTCCTCGGCTTCGTACTCCTCCGCCTTCTCCTCCTTCTCCTCCTCCTTCGCCTCCTCACT